ATTGCAGCAGGAATAAACTGCGCTCCTCTGGAAAAGTAATAGGTTTGGATGGCTAAGGCAGGCCTCTGGGCGTTACGAGTTACATAGTCCAGATGGACATTTCTATTTCCTGAGGCTTGGAAAACAATCCCTATTTATTTGAAGACTTTAACCTGCTCAATGGACTGTCTGCCTAAATTCCAACTTCTTTGTTTAGGGCGTTTAGAAAAAGTAAGGATCTTAGTCTTGGTATAATTTATTATTAATTCCTCCTCAATACAATAATCTATAAGTGAGCTCAAAGCTCTCTTAAGGCCAATAGAGGTTAATGATAGACTTACTGCATTATCAGCATACAATAATAAGTTAATATGTCTTTGAGCTAATTTAGGGGGCTGGACATCACTGATCATTAATGCCTTTACTTGTACTAAGTCTTGTTTTGCTTTGCCTCTTCCTGATCTTCCCCATCCTTGGGGCAAAGTCCTATATTTTACTTACGTTATGTTATACCCTTGTTTACTGACTGTAGAACATGAAATGACCATTTCATAGTAACAGGCCTGCTGACTTTTTTTTTTTCTGATCCTTATTTCTGATACTAGTACATGTTTCTCTTCATCCTGTGAAACTTTCACCCTTAACGCTCTTTCACCTGATGGTTTCTGTAGGGAAAAGGGTGTTACTGCAGGCCAAACAGCAGGCTAAGTTGTATTTCTCTGATGAATTGGAAAGACTCTGCCACCACTATCAACAGCAAAAACATCGCTTTCAGAAATACCCCTATATTTACAACCCTAAGGACTGGGTATGGTGAGATAGCTTAGTGATAGCCAGATCTATCTTATCCTTTGCATCTCCATTTTCAAAGAAATTATTGGATCCCTAAATATCAGCATTTTAATTAGGAGACAAATATTGGTAAGAAAACATTGCAAACCATAGTTCCTCCGTAGCTGCGCAAATGTTATCTTTTCCATGGCTGGAGTCTGCCTTTTGCCAGAGTGTCATCTTGACCATCTCACGCCAATTTGAAGCTTTCCTCCTTCCATTCTAAATGTTCACCTTTTGAAGTAAAGCCACCTTTTGAATGTATTGCTTACAAGTTCCAGATCACCATGGGAACTCATGATGTGCTTCCTGTTGCACATTCCAACATTCTGTTTCCTTGTTCTTTTTTCTTCTTTATAGAATATTCAGTGATATTCAAACATCACCCACTGGACAATTGCCAAATCACTATTATCTGTTTCTGAGATACACATGTATAGAGGGGGCAACAAGCACTATGTAATACTTAATCCCCCCTGAGATATGAACAAAAGTTGCAGAAGATGAAATCAAAATATCCATTGCATATTTTTTTTCCTTGTAGCTCTCATTGTATTGAATTAAACAAGTATACTATAATGCAGAATCTTTGATGTTGTTGTTTCTACCGTTTGAAATAGTTTTTTATTAGTTGTAATCTTTAAGGAAGGCTATAGTTTTAATTCCTCTGATATATTTATTTAGCCTTCAGTGATATACACACAGATATAGAAGTTAAGTCCATTGATTAATAGATGATACTTCTGAATACACATCTATAAAATGGCGTTATTTTACTTTTTAGTTCAAAAAAGACTAAAAGTACCATAAAAGCAGCAAAATATCTATGCAAATATTAAATGAATAAAATGAAATAGATACAGTAAACAAATATTTTTAAGCAAAAAGAAAACAATTTAAAGATTGACATTAGATTTACTGCCACATTTACTTTAAAGCTCAAAAAGCTTCTGAAAAAACTGCAGGGCCCATGAAGTAGTCCATGTATGGGGAGCTCCTGGATAGCACATTGAGCAGGACAGAGGTCACCTGGTCAGAACCTTTTCCCCACAAGTGGGTGATACTGTTTCTTTATTTTATATTAAGGTTTGCTTTATAAATTCTTTCCAAAAAGATCATGCCAAGGAAAATCTTATGGGTAAATAAAACTGAAGGGAAAGCATCAGAAAAGGAGCCCTCTTTCTGAGCCTTTTCAGCAGCAAACTGTCTATGCTGAGAGGGAAATCCCGTCCTTGAGAATTTGTTGAAGAATTCCTC